TATATATATATTCCATTAGCAAGTTATTTCAATTGGTGTCATCTGGGGACCCTCATGTTTCATGACCCAGGGTGGGGTCCCGACCCCACTTCTGGGAACCACTGCTTTTCAACAACTGATGTTACATCATTAAAGGGGTCTTTTTTATTTCAGGTTTAATAATGCTTCATATAGACCCTTTATACAATTCTTTTTAAAAACACTGTTCACACTGAAGCATGTGTGACAAGATCAAGAGCTTGAATGTAATTTAGTTGTTCAGTCTACTTTTTCTTTTTTACTAAATAACTTTTAACTTAGCACTTCCAGGTAACTGACAAATCTTTGACTTTTTAAAGTCTAAAATATTAAAATAAAAAAGTACAGCAGTGCATAATGAGAATACTGTCACATTGTTTTATAACTGTTTTATGAATACTTGTTAAGTCTTTGGAAACTCATCTTTTTAGATTGTTAATAAATGCTTTATAAAGCTGTCTTCAGTCTGTTAACTTATACAATAAGTGTCTTTAATTTGTGCTTTTTTTTGGTTAAATGATAATTGAACCTTGATGCAACAGGGATAAACAAATTAAGCTGTTTAGTTGGGAAATTGTATTTTTTAAATCCAGTTAACACAAAAAAAGTATCCACTTAAAGTCAGAGGACTGCAGTGATGCTTTTACGTCAAATCTTAAATGTTATTTATATTCAAGTTTTTTTTTTCTTTGAACATTTATCCATCAGAACAGTCATAAAAAGGGAACAAGGCAGCCTGAACGCCGGCCTTGTTGGTTTTATCATCAGGCTTCAGCTGAGCCACTGCTCTTATATATTGATTATTCTAACATAATGCAAATCTATTGATTTTTTTTAAATTAATAGAATGAAAACTGTTCCCAACATCTTATTTTGTTGCTGAAATGAAAGTAAAAARAGGAACTRGGCGGATAAAAGCAGATCATAAGGAGTTCATTAGGGCTGAAATGTACAGGGGGGGTTGTTATTTGGGCTTGTGTGAGTGGGGGGTGGGGGTCAAGTGACGAGCGGGATTATATACTTCCTCATAATAATATTAATTAAACAATTTGCATGCTAATAGGGTAACAATTATCGCAGCTTCTGTTGAGAGATTCGGGTTATTACAACATGCCAATCCGGGAGCCAAGGGGTCAGGGAGGGAGTGGGCTGCGAAATTTCAWCTCTGATTAACATTATGACAGCGCCAGACTCGGGATAAATAAAGTTGAATTAATTGTTTGGGAACGCGCTAATGAGCAGACAGGATCCAGGCCTGCGCGCATGTGGAGCGCACTTTTTGGAAATGGAGTACAGATACTTTTTTTTTTTTTTACTGGATAAAAGAACTTTAATCTTCAAGCTTTAAGTTAGCTTTCTTTGTTTAATTGTTTTTCCGTCTTCTCTTAAATGTTGCGCCATTAATGTTCAAAACTTTTGAGGTTTCCTGTGTGGGGAAGAGAGAAGCAAAATCTGCGCCAAAGTCCAAATCTGTTTCATAATGTTCTGATATAAAAGAATAAAAAAAGTGATTGCATTTAAATAAAATGCTATTGTTTTTATTATTAGCAGCCCAGTGTTTTTGTCATGTRCTGGACAGAGGAAGTCAGGGGAGCGTCTGCTCTCATCCAGCCGCCTGCAGCCTCCTCTTCCCGGGATTCAATGAGCCCTTCTCCCGGCGGGTCTCCCGTGTAGCTGCGATGTAGTTCTTATCAAAGCCCCCCTGTCTTGTTGTGACAGCCTCTGATATTGTTTATTGAGGTGGATGTCAGCTTTAATTAGCAATCGATACGGAGGGGCGGGAAGGGGGGGGGGGAGCGTTCGCAGAAGCGCGCCTCTGACGTCAGCGCCCGTTACCGCCGCTCATTGGGTCTCCTTATTCCCAGAGCCCGGGCTAATTATCGGGAGGGCTCGTGCGGATAAAGTGGAGCTCGGCCCTCCCCTTCCACATCATGTCCCCCCGTCGTCGGCCACGCACGCTGCATGCCGTTTAAACCCCCGTCGCCGGCCTCCAGACGTCGCTTCCTCTCGCCCGCGGGATGATGGACAGCAGGATACTGGATCCYCCTCACGCCCAGTTCGGAGGCTCTCTCGGCGGGATGGTGGGCTTCCCGTACCACCTGAGCCACCATCACGTCTACGAATTAGCGGGGCATCAGCTTCAATCCGCGTCCGCGGTTCCCTTCTCCATAGACGGATTACTGAACGGCTCGTGCGCGGCGTCGGTGGGTAATCCCAACCCGCTCTTGTCTTCGGGCTGCGGGCTGAACGGAGACAATCAGCAGTACAAACTGACAGGTAAGACATACACAGCACAATAACCTCTACTCAAAGACAAAGACTTAAAAAAAGACAAAGAAACCGAGATTTTTTTTTTGTGTAGAGGCGAGTCTTACGCGCGTTAAATGCGTCCTCGCGTCCCTTTATAGTAAGCTGATTTATCCAAGAAAAAAAAAAAAACATTTCTTCCACTCAAGATCATCAGCTCGTGCAAGCTTCTCTCAGATGCACAGAAGCTGCACCAATTCATCTTCACAMAATCTGCTGAAATGACATTTAAATGCTCCTGCTTTTTTGTTTACATCTTTATTCTCATCTCGCTGCCCAGACTCGGGGGACCCAGACAAAGATAGTCCCGGCTGCAAGAGAAGAAGAACCCGCACGAATTTCACTGGTTGGCAGCTGGAGGAATTAGAAAAGGCTTTTAATGAGAGTCACTATCCGGACGTGTTCATGAGGGAGGCACTGGCCCTCAGACTGGACCTGATAGAGTCCAGGGTCCAGGTAAATGTCCAATCATTAAATACAGAGGAACAGGTAAAGGTCCAAACATGAGATCCCAGAGTAATTATGGGCTTGCTCTTTGTTTACATTTATCCATGGCTGCAAAAGACATTCAAATATATACTTAAAGTGGCACTGAGAATAATTATTTTATAGTTTTTAGCAATATATGTGTTTTATTACACGTAGTATTTGTAATTATTTTTGTGTTTTCATTGGTTTTTAGATACACGAGGCAGCCATTTAAACCAGAATCAAACAACTAAGATTTGTCTGCATTAAAAATGCAGTTTTGACAGAAAATTAGAAACTGTGTTTACAAATAAATTCTAGAGAAAAGTTTTAATGAGGGCTTTATGTTTACAAGTTTGCATTTTTTTTAAATAGGAACAAATGTAAGAATGAGGAAAAGATGAATGTGACTTTATTTTACAGTTTTTTAATACATTTCGTTTTTAATTCACAACAAACT